AACAAAACTTCCAGAACACGGCCACACAGCCCGGAAGACCCACACCAGCCTTCTCCAGGATGATCGGTCCCCAGCCTCCCCTTCAGGTCTTCCAATGGTCACCCATCACCACTATAATGAAGTCCACCATTTTGCTGGTCACCCTCTTCTCTTTCCTTCTGCTTTTCCAAGTATTATAGACTGCTTGGGAGAGCTACATTTTCATAGAATGTATCCAAAATATTATAATTTCAGTTTGGTTGTGCCTCAAATGAGAACCCTGGGTTGATTTCCTCAGTGATCATTTGAAGTCCATAGAAAGGGAAAACCATTGCCTGCACAATTCTGATCTTGGTAGGTATAGGTATGACACAGCAGAGTCACTCTGTGGTAAGGTGGGCAGTGTCAAATTTGAAATATAAATAAATAAATGAATAAAATCTGAATACCTTTTTCAAAATCTTCATTGCTACCCTACCAAGTGCTAATCTGCACCATATTTATGGACTCCTGATTCCTTTACTGGTTGATATTCAATCCTAAACAGTAGAAGCTATCCACCATGTCAGTATTTTCATTATCAGTTCTAAGGCTGGTTCCTGCAACTATTGTCATCAGTTGGGTCTTTAAACAAATACAGTAATATATCCCAAGTGCAGCATCTGAATATTCCGTTTCTCCATATTTCTTGGTCATCCTAACCACCTCTTTGCCTTGATTCCAGAGAGTTTGAAACCATATAACCTGAGGTCCAGGGCTGTCTGCACAGTGCCCATCTCTCAAAAAGCCACAACTATTTGGCCACAGTTGCTTTACAAAGTGTGGCTCCTGGCAGACCTGAAGGCCATGTGTCCCTTGCCCCATAAAAACACACAGGAGGTTGCAGGACATAAAGCCTCCCAACCTTGGCTCCTGGTGGCTATGTAGACAAAAAACATACAGTATGTTTTTTTAATGACCAATGGACAGTAAAGAAATGGTTCACCACCTTTTTTTTCTGGGATAGCTTTTCAATTTTCCAGTCTATCCTAAAGGCTTGGGGTTTCTTAATAGGGTTCCAACCCAACTTAGTTTTTTTCAAAATCAGCCAAAGTTAGCTAGATGCTTTCAAAACATAAGCCTGTTATAAATGAATTTATTCCTTGTTTTGATTAAAAAGCACAAGGTTTTTTGGTTTTGGGTTTTGTTTTTTTTTGAGTGCTGAGCAACCCCTTCTTCCCAATCACCAAGGACTGGTACTAGGATTTGCAGGCATATAGATTACACTTTCATCCTTTACCTGGTGATGTATGTTCAGGTTTCTGTGAACATTAATTTAATTAATTAATTAATTAAATTAATTTAGAACATATGTAGATGTACTGTTATCACCATTTTGCACTGCTTCAGATTAAGTTACAAAAAGGTCCTTCCAGTTGGACAGGGGCATGAATATAGCCACTCTCTATAATGTTTCAACATGGCTGCATCTCCTCCCATGATCTTGGGCCAAAGGTAGTTCCATAACCCTAGGAACTGTCCTAAAATAGAAGTGTAGTGGTAGAGACTCTGGTGGCAACTGGCATGAGCATCTCCTGGGAGATGTTCTTCCTATTCTCCAAGATAGTGCTAGCAATTTAGTACACCTAATTACATTACTGAATTTAAATATGGACATTATCAATTTATTGGCATAAACAATCTAGCATACAAGCCATTGATGTGCCTCATAAACAAGATGTTCTTAGGTTTATTGATACTCTGTTTAAATTGTTGAGGTTAGGGGGGAAACAAAGTTTACAATTTAGTTCCTTATGCCCCATCTTTTTTTTATTTTCTCCCTGAAGAGACATTTTCTCTTCCCACTGTACTCACTTCCCACCATCACGCCTTTTCTGAACCCCCACCCCCACATCTATCCTTTTCTTTGTGTGAGTTCTTTCCTGTTACATTTCTCTTTCCTATACAACCACAGCCCATAAAGCATGGCACCAGGGTCCCATTTCATATTCAACTCATTCCGCATACATTGTAAACCTTCAGCAGAATAAAAGGTGCAATGCAGTTACAAGAAAGGCAAGGGGAAACAAGAACCAAAAAGCTACATTTTGAACCAAAAAGCCAAAGTAAGGTGTAAAAGAGTAATTGGGAGGCAAGTGAACAAATGACAAGAAGAGGAGCTCAGAACTTTTAGATTTTGAGTTTTCATGAAGAAGAGCCACCCAAGCAAGTTGGGGATCTCTGTCAGGTGTTTAGTTCTCTGTATTTTTCATGGTGCACATATCTCAACTGGCTAGCTAAAAACCACAAAGGCTCCATGAATGATAGCGGGTTCTACAGAATCAGTATTTATATAGTATTTCTAATGCATATGAGGTGTAGATATGATTCATCCAAGGGTGTTTTGCAAGCTCAGTGAGGGAGGTTGGATGACTCTTAGGTGCTTCTTTGATGAATCTCCTGTTCAAAATTGCACTGACTTTTACAACAATTTAGCTTACAGTTATGAAACACTTATGCTTGCAGATAACCATCACGTTCTTTGACACAGTCCAGCAAAGACTATGTATGTAAATATATGTAAACGAATTTCCCTGTTTTAATTTCAATACTATCTTACCTGTTTTAATTTAAAAGAAATTTTTAAAAAGCTTTCTAAGAACATTCTTCCTCCAAAATTACTGGACTTTTCCTATAATAATGTATTATAAACAATGCATTGTAACTATGGAAACAAAGAGTCTATAGTATTTTATTGATCACTTATTACGAGACAAATAATTACATACACATATGAAGCTGATTTTTAACAGCAATTTCATCTGCTCCCTAACATTCACCTGCATGTACTTTAAGCCTCTTTAGCAAAGAGAATCCAGAGTAAAGGAGAAGTGTTTCACCTTTTGGAGAAGTGCTTCACCTTTTCCTTGCCTGCTATTTCTACAAATTTATTTCCTTCCTTTCAGATTCGGAAGATGCTTCCATGATAACCTCCCATTGAGAAACCACTGAAGGAAGGAAAATAATACGATTGTTTCTCAGTGGACCCATCTTTTGCCACTCTCTGGCCTGGAGATCCAGCTTTAATTGCACCATTGCTTTTTCTTCCAAGCTGACATAATTAATCTGAAGATTTTGGGACTAGACCTGATGAGTTTCTCCATCAAAACCAATGTCTGGAGTGTATTTGTTCTAAAGCCATGATAGTGGGGTTTTCATCTTCACCAAATGGGAGTCAAGAGTCATGGGAGAATTAAATGTGTAAGTCAAGAAAGGGTGATGCAGTTAGCAAAAGTGATCATTCATTCATTCATCCATCCATCCATCCATCCATCCATCCATCCATCCATCCATCCATCCTGTTTCTATCCCACTGCAATCCAGATGGCTCTCAATGACTTACATGATATATAAACATTAAAACATCCACAGAAAACAATTGGCAGCAGAATAAAATAAGCCATAAGTCAAAATCCACCAAAATAAAAACTGCAGCAAGAAATAACAATAAAATAAAAATAAAGATAAAAGAGGGCTGAAGCTCCCAAGCTAGTCAGAATGCTTTCCAGAACAGTTTGGTTTTCAGCATCCTGCTGAATGCCATCAAGGAGGGAGCCAATCTGATTGCTACTGGAGACTCTTCCAGAGGAGTCTCGCTGCCACTGAAAAGTGGCCCCTCCTGGCTTCAGATCCCTTCGTTTCCCAGAAACAGAGAACTAAGAGCAGTTTCTCCCTGGATGACCTAATAGTTTAGGCCAATT